GTGTCAGACAATTTTAATGCAGAATTTTATGTTCTTTCAGAATATGCAATGAAAAATACTACATTTCATTTAAAAAACAAAGTTGACCTTCATATGACCTTCAATTTTACCTTCATCAAAAACTCAAGCCCACCATCTTGTGTCCCCCTCCGAACCCTACAACTTTTGTCTGAAACATTTTTCTCTAAACTCAACAGCGTTTGAAATATTCGCCTGGCTAGATTAAAATAAAACACACTGTGTGTGTATATATATATATTCAGTATATATATTCATTCACATTGAAAGATTTGATTATCCTAGAATATAAACTGTTTAAGTTTAAATATAATTAAGTACTAATGTGATATTGATAAATTCAAATTTCATGATTTATATGATATACATACAAAGTAAATGTGCATAATTAATATATTTAAAGGCTATTTTATTTCATAATTTTGTATGGGTATTAAATTGGTTGAGAACAACTGATATATATACATATAACGTGGAAAAAAACAGTGCAAAAAAATCGTTGGTCCGTGTATTGATCAACAGGTAATACATATCCCAAATAGTCAAATATTAACAATATTGGTAGCAAACTCAATCAAAAATTTGCTGTCAATCTGTGCCAACATAGTTAACATTTTGCTTACTAACAATAAGTATATTTCATACAAATCTCCTCTTCTGTTTAGAAGATCTGCTATTTCTTTGTAACAATTTTCTTTTTTACGATTTCAACATCAAGAAAAGCTGAACAAATAATCTTTTTGTGCTAAGATCACTTTAAAAACTTCTTACCGTGTTTTCCATTCTTTTTCCGTACTTTCCTTTCATTTTCCATTCCTTTTCTTTTTTTTTCTACGTATCTTTATATTTTCTCCCAAATATTTAAGAGATAGTACATCTACTATATCTGAACGCCAGCTCATGAATAAGCGAAGCAACCTTAGGCATTGTGAATTATTTAGCGTCGCGACGGTGATAAAGCGTAACGTTTTAACAGCCAGTCTTTCCAAACGCACGTATACATTCGCAATATATAAGGACCACGTGTCTATCAGCGTGTTTGTGTGTGTGTAAAAGCGAAGCAAGATCGCGTAAACGACTCACGTCGCCGGTTATAATAGTAGTCCGGTAATGGAGGAAGTTAGCTTGTATATGCAGCGTCGCATAAAGTTATAGCCAAACGGAACAAGGGTTGAAACAAGAAATTATAGAAGATGACATTCTAGATACTATGGCGAATAATCGGTTTTAAGAGCAATTTTCCTAAAGCGAACGTTCTTCTTGAGTTAAAAAATCAAAATAATTTACTTGTGATAATTTTCACAATTTCCAAATTTGAAAAATTACAAATTTTCAAATTTTTATTAAAATTCTCAGATATAAAAATTGTCTCAAAGGTTTTATGAAAATTTAAATAAAAATAGAAAATAAAAATAAAATAATATGTAAAAGAACTTGTTTCTAAAAACAATATAATGTATAAAAAAGTACTTATAAATTATTTCAAAAGTAAATTTATGACAAATATTAATTCAAATTATTCTATTTGATACACTACAATTGCATTTACTAAAATCATATAAAATAAAGTCACATATATCAAAGAAATAACACTTTTGTGTTAGAAAAAGAATCAATCGCTTACATCGTAGATACATATATGTGTCATCTGTATCTCTAGTTATATTTTATTATCCAGTTCCGAAGCCGACAACAAGGCCAGAAAAATTTCGCTTTTGCAGAAACTATTTGCCGTTAAGTATAATCAAAAGAAAAATCAAACTAAATCCTAACATTGTGTGTATCTATTACGTGTTATAACAAGACCATACTTCAGCAACCTTGAATAGTTGCCGTAATTCTCGTCATTATTTTTATCATTTATCATCGTAATTTGCCGCCATCACTTTTATCGCTTATGATCTCATCGTAATTCGCTATTATTGTTTTTCAATTTGCTATTGATTGTGTGCTTGTTGAATCTGAAGAATATTCTTTAATAATCGAATGCTTTTTTCTATTTAAAATACATTTTATATTTATATATAAATTTTTATATTATATAATATTTATATTATTTATATAATACTTGTATCAATTTTTGCTACCGCTTGTTAAGCTTTCTGAACAATAACTCTATACATATAGGTACAATTAGTGTGTTTTTTCTGAATAGAAGTTGAAGTGAATGTTATATATACATATATATAGACGAACACCTAATTTGCACATATACACATATGAGCACCAAACAATTGTAATATTGCGGCACTGTGATATCGCAACGCCATCGAAACTTATGCAAATCTGATATGTGAGCCAATTATACTACTCGCGCTTCCGCAAATCCGCGCACATACACATAATCGTACATGTACACAGATACAGTATTGTCTTTCGCATATCAGTGACGTAAGATCATATAGAACGGTGTGGGACGACAATATAAATATGCGCCATAGTATACGTTCAGTTTACTTGCGTCCAGTTGGTGGATTAACTTTATACAAGTTGTTCGTTTGCGGCATTAAAGTAATACAGGAAAATGAAGAGAATCGTACTCTTCGTCTTAGCGCTCGTTGCTGCCGTAAGTACAATTTATCTATTACTTATCATTATTATTTACTAATCTAGTTAGAATATTTCACTGTTGTGAACCTGGCTGCTAACTTCATAAAATATAAAAATAAATAATATAGTCTGTTTGTACTTCGTTTGTACTCCACTTTTTTTGTTTGTACCTCAAAGGATTAAAAATTATGAAGGGGTCAAAAAATGGTCAGCCAACTATAAGATATTTAAATTATTTTATTAATACCATTCGAAAGAGAGCATCGTTTGTACCTCAAATGGTTTGGAGTTAATTCGGAGTTGGCCGTTTCAAGATATCTTAAAAATTAACAGAGTTCCACTCTTAGTCAATTATTAAAAGTTGTAAAATGCTGTATTTCCGAATTTTTGAGATACACACAATGCTCTTTCGAATGGTATTAATAAAATTAATATATCTTCTAGTTGAGTGTTGACCATTTTGTAATCCCTTTATAATTTTTAACCTTTTGAGGTACAAACAAAAAAAGTATGATACAAATAGATACAAAGTACAAACAGACTATACTATTTGTTTCCATATTTTTATAAAGTTGATATCCCGGTTCACAACAGTGAATATTTCATATAATTCAATCATATATGTATTTAAAATATGCTGAAATATTAATTTTAAATTAAATTTCTTTTATTGAAAAAGATATAATGCGTTTATTTCTGTGCATATATTTTATTAATATACTTTTTATCATCATAATTAGTATTTTATGTCATAAATTATAAGGAATTTGATTATTAAGCAATTTGATAATATAAAAATTTATTACCACGAAGAAATGATAATATAATCATATTTTAGGCGATAGCAAACGAAGAAGAGACCGTGAAACATTTAGCTGAAAAATTCGAAACAGATGTGCAGACAGTAGAGATGTGTTTTCAAGAAGCTGATACAAATACAGGTAAGTTACGTCGGATTATATTTCTTCGTAAACTTATAAGTTTATGAATCACAAAAATTAAAAATTAGAAACTAGAATTTAAAATGTAAAATTTAAAGATAAAAATTTAAAACATATAGAGAATATATAGAAAGAATATATAGAAATATATACAAAGTACAGGGAAGTTGCTGAAACTAATTAGCTGTCATTTTTAAACGCACATAGAGAGCAAGAAAATATCTTCTAACAGAAGACATTTTGCAGTTTGCTTTACATATAACCTAAAGACAATATTTTTGTCATTAAATAAATGTTTATTAGAATAAATATTTTGTTTATATATCATTCCCATGGGACACTCTGTAGATAAAAAATATATAGAAAAAAAATATATAAAAAATATATAAACATTTTTAATTATAAAAATATTTAAAAAATATATAGAAAGAATATAAAAAGAAAGAGAAAGGAGAGAGGAGAGGCGAAAGAGAGAGAGAAAGAAAATAGAATAAAATAGAATAGAATAAAGGGTAAATCAATGATGAAAATTGTATACGTTAATGCTCAAATTTTATATAAGATTATTTAAGTAATGTCCACTAATACTCTAATAAGCAATGCCTTTATATATTTCATCTGTTTCTCTCTAATTTTTATTAAGTTTTGTATTAATTATCAATGTAGTCTGAAAAATCTGATATATGTGTATATAGCATTTAACAAATTTTTCTTCCTCATAAAATATATTCACAAAAAATATCATTAAATTTTTCATATAATTAAAAAAATTTTCTACGATAGCGGAAATTCATGCTGCGCAGCAAACATTTATGGAAATGAAGAGTGAAAACGATCTCGACGAAGAAACCAAAAAAGTTATTATGAAACATGGTCGTTTTCTGGCATGCATGCTGGAGAAAAAAGATATGGTAACAATTGCATTCGCAATTTTTATACATAACTAGTATTAGTACAAAACCCTAATGACAATTATAACGAGATTGACTGTATATATAATGTACAAATTTTTATACCACTATTTTTCAATTATTTCCGTTAAAATATTATATATTTTAAATTTTCAAATTTAAGTTCTATATTTTTCTTGTATACATTTTCGGATTAATAAATAAAAATTTCGGATTAATTAATAAAAATTTTAAATATAAAATTAACATAATAAAATAAAAATATAAATTGTATTTTATCAACAATACGGTAAAATATATCGCCAAATACAATCAAACTTAATCGAAATTGAACAAAAGAATTGCAATAGTTAATTCCGAGCATGTCAGTTGACAATACACATATAGTTTCATATTTTTTATTATTTTAGATGAAAGACTCAAAGCTGGTTCTAGACAAGATACTTGAAATGATGGATTCAGAAGAAACAAAGCACGGGCCAAGCAAGGAAGATATAACAGAATGCGTGAATGAAAGTATGTATATATAAATCTAAAATAAAATTGAAAACACTCTCTCTTAATTTCGTTACAATTGCAATTGTACGCACTGCTTCTTAGTCAATATGTATTGTATATGTATTGTGTATTTTTTTAAAATGTTTTCTTTTGTATATAATATGCCACTAATTTTTTATCTGATTTCTCTTAGTAAACGAAGCCAATGAAATGAATAAGGAAGATAGGGCACTAGAATTAATACTCTGCTTCATGGACGATCAAGAAATAACGGCGAAAAATAAAAAGTGAAAAGGGTTTTGTATAACATGTTAATGCTATCTGAATCGGAAATTGTGATATTTCTTATATTGTGTAGTGGTAGCGTCGTAAAAGAGAAATTTCCGTCATCGGGGTTTTATCGTCGTCAAAGCGAAATAAAAATAAAGTTTTCGCAAATTTATCATAAATCTTGTTACTAATAAAAAATTATAGTGCTGATATTAAAATAAAACATAGACTAATTAAATATTTAATAAATTATTTACCTTGTAACACCAACTCTTTCTATTATTTGCAAATATGAAACAATTCAACTATAAAACAATTAAATTTTCAGGAAATTTGGATGTAAGCACATCCAAACATCATTCATAAATCTGATTTTGCTCTATTTCCCATAAACTTGATGTTCAGACTTTTCGCACAAAAATTCAAAAATATATCTAACGCAATCTGCTCTTATTTATAAGACAAATCAACTTCATATTTCCGAAAAGAATTCAGTTCAATCTAATCGTACACTGCAATTCTTGTAATGTAGTTTGCAAGATTAAGTAAAATTATTTACATTTCTTTGGCAATTATTAAAATTTACGAAAGTAATCTGCTGATTCCAAGTTTATACCTGCTAATAAAACAGCAAACAAAGATGCAAAAAACGCTATGTTTCTTTTTCAATTCTACAGTAACCATTAGTAATCCGATAGAAAAATATATTGTAGGACAGTGTGTTGCGGAGCTATTTCGATCATAGAATTATAGAGTGATTAAAGTAAACAAACGAAACTATCATACATCATACATTGAGAATCTTTTTAACAATGATGAAAAGCTAATTTGGTACAATTGGTATCGTGCTTCTATTGATAACACCACATGAATTTAAATAAAAGAAATATTAATATTTTTATTTTTAATTTTTCTGTAATATTAATTTTTATAATATATTATCGTACTAATATTATTTCTATATTTTAAGAAATTTAATAAATATTACTGTATGTATGTATTATTGTATGTATTTGTTAAGCATACTGAATATTAACTCTACTGAACAAATAATACATCTTTCCTGAATGTAATAGATCAATCTCATACAAGGAGTTAATTTGTACACACATACGGGAGTACGAAACAATTGCACTATTGCGGTAGCATCGCGATAATATCGCGATGCTCCTGAAACTTAGGCAGATTTGCTACGTCAGCTAATTATACTACTCGTACTTCCGCACACATCCGTGCATATATACATATATATGTGTATATACAAAATTGTCTTTTGTGTAACATAAGATTACGTACAATAGTATGCGACGACGATATAAATATGAGCCATAGTATTACTTCTTACGTTCAGTTGGTCGATTAACTTTATGCAAGCTGCTTGTTTCTGTCACTAAAAAATGAGGAAAATCGCGTTTCTCGTTCTAACGCTCGTCGCTATCGTATGTACAACTTATTTATCTTTATTATCGCAATAATTATTTTAATTTTCTTCCTTTTCTATTCATAGAGAACAAGCTAACTAAAATATTTCACATAATTTGTATAATTTCAAGTCTTTAAAATATGCTAATACTAATGTTAAATTAAGTTTTTTCACTAAAAAAAATGTAATACTTTTATTTCTATTTATATTTCTTATTACGTTTTCAATTAATGTCTTATCATTATGTTTAGTATTTTATATATTGTTATAAACTTTGAATAATTTAATTATTTTGATCATCTGCAACAATAAAATATAAAAGTTATGTTAACGCAGAGAAATATGTAATATGCATATATAATATAATTATATTTTAGGCGATTGCAGATGAGGAAGAAGACATAACAGATTTAGCAGAGGAGTACGAGACTGACGAGAAGACGATGCGAATATGTTTAGATGAAACTGAGATAAATAGGGGTAAGTTATATATCGGAAATAAAACGTCTATTAAGCTATCACGGTCACTTTAGCATAATCGAATTAAATATATATATAAAAGTTTGTGCCGTTTTCTCGGATGCCTTTCGAATCATTTTCTTAATGAAATGACTGGAATAACAAAATAAAAAATACAGCAACAATTTAGCAATAAAAATATCACTAACTTTTTGTATATATTTAATTTGCTCAAGTGTTTGGCTGTGTCAGTTTAACAGACGGGGAAATAAATAAATTTAGTGATTATAATTTATAAGTAATCAAAAATTAAAAATTAAAAATTACAATTTAGAATATAAAGCTTACAATTTTGGAGAGTTTTATTTTCGTAAACTTTAAATTAAAAATTTTTAATTTAAAGTTTACAAATAAAATAGCTTTTAAATTTAAAATCTTCAACAATTTCCATCTTCAGGAAAGCAAATTTCAAAAATAGACTTTAGAAAATTATATTAAATAATGTAAGTAAAAAATTTTTCTCTCCATTCAAGTATAGTAAATATAAGAAAATTCTTCTTTTTGGCAAAAATGTGCATAAAAGATGCAGATCTCAAAATTTTACATAATTAAAAAAATTTTTCACAACAGATGAGATAGATGCTGGATGGAAAAAGTGGGCGGAAATAATAAATAATGGTAATTTCAATGAAGAAGCCAAACAATCTGTCGCAAAACTCAATCGTTTTATAGCGTGCTTGTTGGAGCAGAAAAATATGGTAATAATTGCATTTGTAATCTTTGCACATAATTATTGAAAAACAGCTATAATGACAATTATAACTGGATTGATTCTATTATATCAGCGCTCGGAATTAGTTGCACATTTCGGGCCAATTTCCGAGACAACGCCTCCTGTTCCCCCACTACCGCTCGGCTGCTGGCGGCCGGACCGCCGATAGCTCTGGCTCAGGAGCGTTTTATATTAGAAATAGGCTGGATTGTTTAGGCATCTTTCGGGAAATCGTAACACTTTCTTCACTACATAAATAATGTTTATTTTTATTAATACATAATATATATATATTTAATTATTAATGAAAATAAACATTATTTATGTAGCAAAAAAATATTACTATTTTCTGAGAGGTGCCTCAACAACCCAGCCTATTTCTTATATAAAACGCTCCTGCGCCAGAGCTATCGGCGGCTCGGCCGCCAGCGGCCGAGCGGTAGTGGGGGAACAGGAGGCGTCATCTCGGGAATCGGCCCGAAATGTGCAACTAATTCCGAGCGCTGTATTATATGATGTAATAATGAAATTTTTGAAACATTTTACTTTCCGACTATTTCCACTGAAATGTTGTGCACATTAAACAAATTAAAATTTACTTAAATATATTAATTATATGTTATAGTATATTAACATTTTGTGACAGAACTTTTTATACCTATAAAATTAGCTTTTATAGACATTCTCATCCCTGGTAGAAAGTGCCATGCTAGATCCTGATGTCTAGCTAGCTCCCATCTTGACTGTCATGTTGTATCCCCATTTAATATAATAAATTTAGTTTTGACGTGGTTCGAATCAGCGTCAAGCTATTTCTAGCGAGGCGCTAGAAATATACTATGTTAATAATGTCTGATTAGAAGTAGCCTGGCGCTAGTTTACTCCAGACTACTTCTAGTATAATAAAATAAGAACTGCGTGAGAACTAGCTATCGCTACATCATGGCTAGATAGTACAACATCAGAACTAGAGTGCGCCACACCACGGCTAGATAGCACTACACTAATGCTAGCTAACGCCTGACTAGTCGATTAAATCGGGTATTAGACTGGAAAAATGTGATGATTTTGTGTCTGGCGATAGTCTGCATGCCATACTAGCTCCTTATCAGGCAGTGGGGCAAGTAAGTTAGCGCCAGCCTAGCACCATGGTGATTTTTCTACCAGGGTAGTTTCTTTTATAATAAGATGTTCATTATAATTAAAAAGAAATATTATAATAATTATGACTATGATTACTACAGAAGTTATTGGAATAAAAAAATTTTCATTCATATTATTTATATAAATAATAAGCTTCTACATTTTTACAGATCCGTATCCTATGCATAAATTAACGAACAAGAACATACATAATATTACTGATAATATATCAAAGTATGTGGCTCCTAAGAGATAATTATCTCCATTTTCAACTATATTTATACGCATATTGCCATTATGAGTGTTATAAATATAGCTAAAATAATAATTCCTAATGTAATCCAATCTTGTGTTTT